AACATTGAATCAATAATCGTGCCCATGAACACGTCCAAATCCTGTTATTCAGCCCAGAGGAATTTTGCATCATGAACATGTTTTTCTTTTGATCATCGGATTCGTGACAGTTCCAATATGGGAGCGTTTGCACCTAAATTGTTAGTTCCATTTTCATCTCATTTTTTATGTTGTCTCGTTGATTTTCCACTCGAGGTTTGGGGTTTGTTGGTTTTTGAAGTACCCTTGATTTCGACCCCGTCGCATGTGACCTCATCTTGACAGCATTCTGCAATTTGGGAATTCGCGCGCGAGTTTTCATGTTTGTGACATGTGGCGTTGGGTTTAATGGGACTCTTTCGCGTTGCTGCGGGCTTCCCAGCAATCGGACATGTTTTGCTTGGAACATTAGCCATGAACATGGGTTGCGGCGCTGCTGCGGCCAGACCAACTGGGGAGCGAAGAAGACCGCAAGCTTCACGGGATGCTTCCGTTTCCGCAAATTCTGCAACCAATGCGGCTATCATGGTTGGCCGCTGCGACCCACGGATGATGGCCGACCCTCGCATGCAGCAAATGCTACAAAACCAGCAGAGATCTCCCAGACCCAAAGCTGCCGCTGATGGAGGGTCTGCACGCAAGACTGCTTGGGCAACACCTGTTCCAGCTGCAGCTGCGCAGGCCAATGTCGTCCCTGAAATGAGCACTTGTTTAATTCAATTTTTCCTATTTTACGCGATGAAATTGGATTGGTTTTGTATAATTCTCGCTGCTGCTGCAAAGAATGCAGGAGCAGTCCCGACTTGGGTTGAGGTTGGGTGACAAAGGAGCGTTAGTGCAAACAACCTTTGAGCGGGCTACACGTTTCAAGGGAGGGCTAGGGTTTCTCCTGTGTCCTTGTTGGTTTGAAGCTGTGGCCATCGTCCTGTTGCGGGGAGGCACGCGGCTCTCGACCTAAGCCGAAATCCAGAGCAATAGAATCGTGGCCGCACTGTAATTTTTAGCTCGGGTCCACGCCTCGTCTGGCAATTGAGGGGGAGGCTAGCAACTGAAGGATGTTTCACAACAACAACATTGAAAGGAGCACCAACTCCGATTCAGGGTTCAGCCTGGGTGTGGTTTCTGATTCTTTCTTCCAAGTGGTTTGAATTCGAGAAGGTTAGGAGCAATGCGGTTCAGGTTATGGACGGTGGATGCACACTGTACAGGTGGAAGGGGCTAACAGCATCCTTCGTTTCATATGGGTTCTGTTGTCAGGCTCACTTTTCTTTGCAGCAGGGAGAGGAAGGAATAAAACAACAGCATATTTGCAAAGAGAGTCTTGCTGTGACGGTGCGGTGTCTGGGAAGCGAGGATTGGGGATTGTATGCAACTGCTCCAGTGTTTTTTGATGTCCATCATGCGATAGGTGCGGAAGCTGCAATAGGGTTTTGGGCAAGCGCCCACAGATGGTCAAGTAGGTTTATCGGCATGCCAGCATGGTATTCGGAAGTTTCAATGGCACACACCCAAATCTCAAAGTCATCTCTTTCACTGCAATGCAGGAAGGCACATCCTTGCCGGCCCTGGTTGAGGACGTTTGTATGTCAAGGGTTGTTTACTCTAAGGTGTTTTGTTGATTTGGCTCTGTTTTGCACATTCTGAGCTGGTGGCAGGATTTCAGGTCTCAAGACCGCATGTCAGGTAGTGCAGCTAACAATTCTAGTGTACCAAGATGGAAAATGCTTGAATCATTGAGCTGGCAATAGTGTACTTGAATAGATGCGCTTTAATCAGTGAGATTACTTGGTCCAGGCACCGTCCTTGTTAATGCATGTAGAAGCCGTGTAGACGATGTAAGTCTTGCAGAACATCTGGATCAGCAGTCAGGTAGCTGTTGATTCAACGGCTTTTGCTTGTGATGTCAAGGGGCTACAAGAAAAGCCCGTTGATGTCGTACTGCCTCAATGTACACCTTTTGTGTTTCGAAATCAAGTTCAAGAGACAGCTTGGGTTTGACAGATGGGGGGTTAGTGCTGGCAAGAGGAGAAGAGTGCAGATGCACTCCAAGCAGGCCCGAATGGTGCTGCAGGTTTACAGGCTGATTTCTTGCTATGATGTTTTCCGCGGGCTCAGGAGTTTTCAATACGAATCTCATGGGTTACGTGCCATGAATGCGCGAGTCCAACGCCAGGAGGGGTCCATGCATGAAGTTCCAGGGAGTCAACCTTTGAGCCAGAGCCCTTCGTGACATCAAGTTATAGTCCCCCTTAAGTAGATAGAATATGGGGTATATGGGGATATTTTTATAATATACCCAGAGCTTTATTCTATCTTCCGGGTGACTATACACTGAGAAGTGCGAAAAGGCAGTCAGCCATGAGTCTTCCCCACGCCCATGATTCACGCTGAAAGGTTTGGGTAAAGTAAGATCTCTGTGCTTTATATTATGTGTAATGTGGGCATAGCACAACATTAGGTTCGTGTTTTCTAATGCCCAGCTGCGCGCAATGGTCAATAAGCCTAGATGTTAGGTTGCCAGTGCTGTGACAACCACGGTGCTGCATGATTGCTGAATTTGCAGTTTGCTATGACACCAGCCCCGCAAGAAGTTCCAGCATTTTGTTTCGAAGGGCAGCTACATATCCAGCTCACAAGCTTCCATGCATCCTTCCCCTAAAATTCTCCCGCAAGACCACATGCATCACTAAGGAAACTTCGTTTGCTTTTCGAGAGTGATTCAGGATCATCAAGTTGCAGTATTCCAATGCTGTGGCCAGGTCAGTCTAGCGATGTACTGATGCAGCCGGATTCTGTGACGTCTATTCCTGGAACCCCAGGCCACAACTGATTCACTGCAAGTTTTTGCATCTTCAGAAGCAAAGGAATGTTGCATGTGTTTACTTCTTCTCTTGTCTACCATCCCAGCCATCGCGCTGAGCCCATGTTGTTTGCAGCAGGGCAGCGAGGCTCCAGGTTTCCAATGTTTCAGCCCATACACCCAAGGTGTGAAAAGATGGGCAGCTTAATTCATTATTTTCATGAATGGGTAATGATCCGGTTTGATCCTGTGGAGGCGTTTAGCTATATGTACAGCTGCCCTTGGAGCCTCTGCGAAGCAGTTGGAGTTGGAGTTTTGCGACTTAGACGGAAGAATCTGGCTCGCCACCGCTCTCATCCCTAAACTCTAAGCCTTAAGTCCATTGTAGGCCTACTTGCCGTCATTTCGGTGATTCATGGATACTGCAGCTCAAGAACGTTTTGACAACTTTTCCAGTGTCACGTCTAATGGTACATTTTTCTTGTGCCTTAGGACTTGGACCTGTAGATGACGGTAGGCTTCTGTGGAAGCAGGGCGATTTGTTAGCTTTACGTTCCAATCCACCTGTCGGTGAACCCAGTGAGTCCTACACGGCCTGGGCCTGGAAGTGGTGGAGACATCCCAACAATGCAAAGATGAGGCTTCAGAGGCTTTACAGATCGAGAAATGCCATTGTGGGATCCTGCCCCCCAATCGCGGCAATGTATGTTCAGCCTTACAAGCCGTGAAGTGTACAACATGGGCAGGGGAAGCTGGAGTTCACCAGATTTCATGAGTGTGAACGTATTTTGAGAAAAGCTGCCTTCTTAGCTAATCACAAACTCTTCCTGGCGTTATGATCACTCGCTATTGTTATGGCAGTTGCCATCGTTGGAAATTTCTAGGAGTTTTACGGAAGATTCCCAGGTTGTCTGGCCTGCCAGAAGAGGTCACAATGCCTGCTGTAACTGAGCTTCGTATCATTGCAATCATTTTCGCTGGTTCCAATATTTTCTCTTACCATCCTTCGGTTATTCATGTGACATGTAGAAGTACAGATTGTTCTTATCATCGTTCCTACTATTTCTGATGTTTTTGCATGGCTGCAAGGCGGTTTATATAATCCCAAGAGAATGATCTGCAGTCCCTGACCCACTGAAACCTTTCGCACACAAACATGAATGACATGAATGATGCTCAAACTCCCCACCTGGAAGCCTTCCATATGCGCTGTGCACTTTCCAGTCTCCCTGTTGTAGCCAAGTGCAAGCTCTGTGTGACTGCACCCGGTGTCCAGGTTGGATCTCCCTAAGACGAACCCTAAACCCTAAATAGTAGTTTCAATTTCATTTTACATTATCCCAATGCAACCCCAATATAACCCCAATATACTATAGTAGTTTCCATTTTCTGTTCCATTATCCCTATATAGGTTTGCATAAAGCAGCCTGAGCCTGAGCCCAATCAAGGCCTTGCTTCAGAGCCGTAGTGAATCCTGCAGCTGTCATGGATGAATCCCTGCTCTCCGACCAGGAGTGCGATGGCAGAAGCTGTACTCATCCATGTTACAAGTGGTGAACCCGCAAACCTCGTGAGCAAGTTGAGAGCTTAGGATCCAGATGAGTTTTTGCCGAAAGATGTCTTTTTGAATTATGTCCCTCGTTGAGTTGAGACAGTCGCAGCCTGCAGGAGCAAGAAGGCCAGGGCAGGCGGGACAGGAGCTCGTGCTATGCGGCAATCTGGTTATGCTGTCATATACGTTCTGGTGGTCGATGGGATGGCTGTGGGTGTCTCAGCTGCCAAGTCATTTTCCGCGACTGCTCGCACAACGTGTGTGTTTTTTTTTGAACCTTGTAAGGAGCTCATCACAGGTGCTACTGAGCTGCTACTCTTTCTTCAGCGGTAGCGTAGTTGTGACCATCATTGTTCTTGTTGCTGCTTGAAATTAGCTATTGTATGTGGCTCTTTTTACCGTCGCATTTGCTCTCATCGTTCCGGTTGCATGATGGTCAGTACATGCTCTTGGTTCCTGGAGCCTCTCGGATCATTTGCCGATAAGCTGACACCCGGCAAGCACTTTTGTTCTAGACTAGGCGATCTGTTCAATGCTCTGGTGCGTATGATGGCACTCATTGTTCACAGAGTCATGACGGAGATTGTAAGGCTTTCTTGTCCTGACGGCGGATGACTTCAAAACCCTGATGGCTCTACCCAGCCTTTGCTGCTTGCACGTTTGAGATTGATGAATGAATGTCCGAGGCGACTGACTGCTTTCTTCTGCCTCTTCACGGTAGCCTTCTGGTGCCAGCCTAATTTGCCTGGACTTATATAAGCGGAGCTTACCACCAAAGCTCCACAAGGGATAGAAAAACACGTACGGACCGGGACCGGGGGGGGGGCTGGTGCTTTGTCTGTCGGGTCGCGACATGAGGATCGGTGTCACGAGGAACCTCTACTGCGATGCAGAAGCGCTGCAGAACATCCAGCCACCCTTCGATGGGCAGCTGATGCCGGCAAACATAACGCTTGTTGAGAGGAAATACTTGCTGATCCAGTTTACGAAGTTGGTGGACGTTTACGACGCGAGCCAGAATCATGTGGGCTACTTCTACGAATCCTGCCTCAGATTCAAGATAAAGAGTGCAGTCAGTCATTGGTGCGCTTCTTCCTGAATGAGGACATCAACTTGTTTGTCATCATGCGCTTTGGATTTTCTGATGCAAAAGGCAGAATCTGGTTCGAGGCGTGGCATTTGCTTGCAAGAGAACTCTTCTTTCGCTTCCTCCTTTGACTTTACAATCTCAATGCCTTGCATGGAGTAACGCTGATAAACACCGCGACCCGCGGCTCGCGATGACTTTTGGGTCTCGGCAGGCACGATATGCGTCGTTCCTGTCTCGCTTCAAGCCCATCATCGAGTACAACCTCCAGCGCTGCGCAGGGCTCTTAGTCAGAAGATGATGATAATTGTGATGCAGGTATTTCTAACAGTATTCGAAAAACTCGTACAGATGTTAATAACTGGACAAGTCTTTCGACAAACTACATTTTGGGTGTGCTGTGCGTGTGCATCGCTTGTTTGCAGTGCTGATCAACGATGGCCGCATCTTACAAGATGGGAAAGTTTCCAAAAGGGTGCTTGCAATGTTGCCCGGGGTCCTCATGTAGAGAACCCCAATGCAAGGAATCCAAAGATGCTCCCACAAGTCTGAGACCCGAACATGTGGCTGTCTGAAATGCAGCTGAACGTGTTGGGAACAATGGAGGTTTCCAGGTGTGCGTAATTCCTAAACCCTATATAAAGTATTATAGCAGTTTTCATCTTTTGTCCCCATATAACCCCAATATAACACTAATCTTACCCCAATGGATCGGTACTAGTAGTTTCTATTTCATCTTCCATCCGATTCTTCAATATCCTTAATTTACCCGTATATATTCCCTATAGGATCCCTATATAAAGTCCAGATTTCTTCAGCAATCCTCTGGTTACAAAGTCCAGATTTCTTCAGCAATCCTCTGGTTAGATTGGAATAATGGAAGATAACATGGAAGCTACTATACTATATTAGGGTGATATTGAGATTATATTAGGGTTATATTGGGGTGATATGGGGATGATGGAAAATGAAATGGAAGCTACCATATTACATAGGATCCCTATTATAATCCAAGTCTTCTGGCAAAGCATTTCCCTGGAAGCACCACCCTTGCAAATATGCCAAGTCTCGAAGTATTGTGCCCCTGCGCCGTAAGCACCCTAGCATAGAGATGTCACGAGAAGTGGGAGATGTGCTCAGCGGGTTTACCGCCACTGCCCCTGATAATCTTGCAAGGATGCGGGAGGCATTGGCAGAACATCACTGCGCCAGGGCTGATCTTGAGGAACAATGTGCACTGCTGGAGAACGCTTGGTAGGAATTCATCGCCTATACGATTACGTCTTGAAACCGCAATGTCTTTCCTGAGCTGAAAATCCAGCAGTCGTGTCAAACGCAAGCAAAGGTTATATGAGCTGAAGGAGCTCTGGTGGCGCAGCCCTCAGTTTAGCTCCATCACAGACATGGCTGGGTGTGAGGGGAGGGGGCCCGGAAGGCTGGGGTTCAGTGTTGTGGTCTGGCCTCTAGCCAGTCGTCCTCTTTTAAATCCCAGCGGAAATGCGTATCCTGAGCATAGTCGTTCCAAATGTCACTGGTCCGAGACTTTTGGAGATCCAGCATCAGACCACCTTGAAGGGAGAATTGACTCTTGACGTTAGCAGTAATGGGGTCTTCAAACTGCTCTTTACGCCCCGGCCTCGTAGATGGGAACGAACGGACATTTGTGGTGGAAGGCATGTAAGTAACAGGAACAAAGTCATGTTGATGCCATCCCGGTTATTGGTAAAGGCCCGTACTGTTGGGACAATTATCATGCGCACGGCTGATGAGGGATAAGGGTGAAATTCAAGCCAAACTTGCAGTACGAGACCTCATAGTTGGAAGGGAACCAGCAAGTCGAGGGCACGCCTAACACGGTGTAATTAGGGGGCACTCCTGATAGGAGTTGTACATTTCCTGGGCTTTGCTGAGAAGAATTGTATGGGATAGGGGGTCACACACTCTTTTCTGCTTGTTGTTCGGCAGACTCTTCTCTCCGAAATTCATACCCCCGTAACCCCCCTAGGGCTACACATGACAGTTTTCGTTTTGGACGTGGCAAGAATGAAGCCACCCTCCATAAACCCCCGAACCTCAAAACTTCAGCTTCTTTCGAGGAAAGAATCCTATTGGCGGTGCTTCGTGAATTGCAGCAGGCCGCATGCATTGAACATACCGGATTTTGCTCTTGAACTTCTTGAGGCTCGCGGAATGTCATCTCTCAGTATCTAGGACTTATGATACTTTCAAGATGTGCTTACTTTCTTCGTGAGAGCGCAATAGGAGATTGTTGAATTTGTGACCCCTGCTTCGTACCCAGACTAGGACTTGACTGGTGTAGGTGTTCTTAGCGTGAGAGTATGAGTACTGTACCATTTTTATGGCGCTTCTGGAATTTGCTACTGCATTAGTTTGTCATTTCATAAACCACGCCAGGCTCTTCAACCTTGCGGAGCGTGCGGCAGACGCACAAGTGCGTGAAAGACTGATTCCAGAGGCTCCTTGCTTCGACGATTTTTTAAGGTTCTGTCTAGATGTTCGTAGGCTTCTGGGCATAGCTGGAGTTCCTATCTCTCTCTTGGCGTAGGAGAGACTGGTTTTCTTTCTGTATTCGTCTCAGAATGAGATATCCCAAGATGGAGTTGCAAATGGGAGGTCTGGGCATGGAACTTGCAGCTTTGAGAGGACGCCTTGTTGAGGTGAGGTGAGGAGTGGTCCTTTTGAGACGAACATTCCACCTGTGAGGTTTGGCAAGGAAAGTCAAGCTTTCCAAGATGAATCAGTTGCTGAGCATGCCGCTGCAATCTTGTGATATTCCAGTTGGGATTTCTGCTTGCTTTGCCTCTGTGATACATGAATGAGGGTTTCTGACTGCTGTGCAGGCAAGCTTTGGGCAAGATGCGAGATTCCAGGTGTCATTCGACGTGGTGGCCCCAGAGCAGAAAGGGGAGTTCGACGAGCATCTTAGAATTCAGGAGCTGAGCCATCCAACATGTGCTACTGTCTAAACTCCTAGTATCCGCCTTAATAACCCCTATAGTAGTCCCCTATATAATCCCCTATATAACCCCCCTTTAAGGAGTTTAGGCTATAGTTCACGTGAATTCCCTTCGCCCATTCCTTTTATGTGAAACAAAACCTTGAACCCGGAGCCATGCACTCAGCACGCTGAATCCAAGAAGCTGTACTCCTCCTTGCTTTCTTTGGCCAAGGGTTGGTTGGCACCTACCATTCGTGGTCAAATTACAGGTCCTGTATCTGGGCAAGGCGCTCAGAAATCTTGCTTTTTTTGGCCTTCAGTTTACAAACTTGTAAGCTTCATGCAACTGTTCTGTTAGCTTGAGATTGAGCTTTTGTTGCTTCAGAGCTGAGCTGTGGCTACCTGGGAGGTGGAGAGTTTTTGAACAAAGGGGCACCTAATTATTGTGCTTCAAGTCTTAGAGGTCGGCTTTCAAGAGCTTGTTAGCAAATTTGGAACAAAAGTCCGATTTTGGACGAAGAGGACCTGGGCGGCAATACCTCAAGTATTATTTGAAGGGCTGCTATTCAGGGACCAACTTGGAAGCCGTTCACCCAGATAGGTGTTACAAATCCTAAGCCTCAAATCCCAAAGCAACTTGCTCTTCAGTCAAAGCACAGAAATACTGGTGCGGAAAATGTCCGTCAGAAAAAGCAAGTGCAATTTGCTTTGCAATGCGATCTTGCAATGCATGTTGACTGCATTTTTGCTGCCTGAGCTATTCTCCCTTCATCAACCGCACTAGCAGCTGTATCACAGGATAGGCCATGAGCAAGCTCAATCAGCAGGTACAAGGTCTTGTTTCCAGCCCACCTCTATCCTCGCACTTTGTGTCATAAGCATTGTGTTTTGGGAGCTGTGTGGCCGTGGCCTTTGTCAAAATTGAAGTTCTCACCAACAATTACTAGAACCTTCTCTTTAAAAGGTTTCAAGACACCTTTGGATGGTGTTTCGAAGACTAGGAGCCCTCTACGTGTTTCCACATCTTATGAGAACTCAAGAATCTTCTGTTTCTGCAACCCGGAGATCCGAAATCTGCTCACGTCATCCAGGTTTGGCACCGGAGTCCGACAAGTTTGGTCTATGAACCTGCAGCAGCTTTCTTGCACGATGTCGGACTAATAACTAGATAATATCCGATAACCAGTTCTGGATAAGCAGAGAATACTTTGAATGATACTCGTTACGGAGGTGGTGGTACCAGGAGCAAGAGATCCACGGATTTAGGGTTTTGTTCCAGATTGGTTGGTCGCAACTGCAAACTCGCTCGGCAATAACAATTATGGGCGCCTACGAAGGCCGCTTACAGACGAGGTGTTGTGGAAAAGAAAGGCACGCTGTGTTGTGAAAGGCAAACGAGTCTGGTCCACATGTACTAAGCATGCGTGAAACATTTGCCCACTCCTCCGCGGGACCAGCCATACCCTCTAAGCCCGAATAACACCATTTGTGCGATGATTTATGTGGGCAAGGCTGCTAGATCTGCAATCTGTGAAAGCCTTAGCCTCCTGTTTCTTGAGTTAGAGTAAAGATTACAATGTCGGTGGCAACTCTTCCAAGATATTCTAAGCAGTAGCAACGCGGCGATATCGCAACGCTCAAGCAGCCTAAAACAGCAGCACCGCAGCGCATCCAGAAGGGAAGCTGGCCCTGCATGCCAGCGAACCGTCCCACCACTACAGTATGACCATAACCACCTCCAGCTGCGCAAGTAGAATCTTCCACACGTATCCTCATATCCCTATCGACTCCAACATATCCCTACATATCATATATATAGATATAAGGAAGTCCAAGGAATGCCAGTAATGGCCGAGTCTTAGCTCAAGCGCAGCAGCATTTCGTCATCGGCTCGGCCACTCAGGACATGAGAGTTGCCTGTACCTGAATGTAGGGCTTCCAAAAATTGAGGGTTCTTTTTTTGGGGAACGGGAATTACAATATAAGGGGTCAATATTGAGGTCCCCTCATTTATGGAAGCTACCATATCGTCTGCAAATAGTCGCATATATCTATGTATAGTAGCTTCCATTTCATTCTCAGTTCGATTCTTCATTCTTATTGCTCCTGTATACTCCCCACCCCATTGTTTGCATTTCATGTTGCATGTTGTTTTCTCTTTGATTCTCCGTTATTTATCGAACTATCATTGGGAGCCAGTGTTTTTTTCAGGTTTGGCGGCTTCAGGGTTGGTACTGGTCTTGGGGTTTAAGGTAGATTTGTTTCAACCGCATTTTGCAGAGATGCATGTGTGTTGTAGGTTCAGAGGAAACAGTACTGTATGCACATTGGATGGGGAAGGT